AACTAGAAAATTCCTGATAAATAGCCAACATATTTAAGAATTCATATGTGCTGCTTCTTCTCAAAGAAAATTGTTTATGATAATATCACTAGTTATGTTTTGGAACAAACCTCTACATTTATGAAAATATATCAAAATAATTTATATGGGCCCATTTAGAAGCACATAAACCATACAAGTATTCAATAATTTTGATAAATGCATCTAAAAGATGGTAACATGTGTGATTGACATTAGTTTGCAGCTTGAAGTTTGGAAGATTGTTTAGATAAATATTATGTGTGTGATTCTTAAAGCTTGATGTTAAAAATGCTAGTAAATTTATATATCAAGCTTTAAATGTTGAAAAACTTGCTTAACAAATTGATCTAGCAAAATCATTTGTTAATGCCTTCATGAGGAGTTGGATCAATATTTTATTTGAACAAGTTTTTCATTTCATTGTTGGCTTATTTTGTTCAATATATTGCAGGAATTACACACATCAATCCAACAAAATTCTCCTAATGAAATTGGCTTTTGGTCAGGAGCGAGATATCTTTCGTCTTAAAAAGTTTAAATATACAATGCTTATTCCTATTGATCCACCATAATACACATGGATGGATATTTAAAGAAATTTGGAACTTATGTTGGGTAAGAACTACTTTCTTCTTGTTGGTCTCTAAATAGAACAAAACAATGCTTCTAAAGGAAGCAAATACATTTATGAGACTTATACTACATGATTGATTGTCACTTGACAAAGTTTTCCCAACATGAGAAGGAGAAATTGAATAGCTGAAAAAGAAAACACATAAAATGCATTATTACTATCAAATATAGATCTTCAAATATATCAGTATGGATAAAGTTCATCAAACATTGTATTAATGAAATGTTACAAAATATTTGCTAGATATAATTACTAACCTCAATGAGAATTTCTAAATCTCTTATTTTAGTTGAAAATGCTCCAATTAGTATAAATAAAAGTGAGATATGCCTAAAACATGAGAGGTTAATCGGTTCCAATATAAATATCTTGGATGAAGAGGAGCATAAAATTTGAAAGTTATATTGAGGAGCCATGTACTCCAGAAGAGTATCAAGACATGACTAATTGCAAAACTCTAGAAGAGGTTCAAGTACCTAAAAAGTAGGAAATAGATCTCAATAAGTTAAGTCACAAGAGGAAAAATAGAACCGAAAAGATAAAATTATCGACAACAATTTTAATAATAATATGACTTCATAAAAAGAGGATCTTATATGTAGATATGTCATGCAAAGTAGACAGAAATTTGATCAAGAAGAAAAGTAAAAGAAAAAAGACACGATGAAAATATTATTTCAACTTGTGAAAATTATGGACTTGCAGTCCAAACACATGGAATATAAAGTTTTATGGAATATATGAACATATACGTGAAGATAAAGATTTTCACAAGGGTCTAATGATGATTATAATGAGGCAATAAGGCATATTATTTTGTGGTGGATGTAATTAGTTTTGCATATGTTGATAGTTTGGCAATATATAAAAAAACAAAATATGCGTATGCTAGATATTGTTATAGCCTATGTATGGAGTTTATCAAATAGTGAAATTGATATGATAATCTTTGAATGATCCAAATATGCCAGAAGCATGTACAAAAAAATCATTCAATATATAAAATATTATGAAGGTTAAAATAATCTAAGTATATAACATTAATTTTATAGTTTTAAATCAAAATATCTGAAATTCTCTAAAAGATTCAAGTTGCTAGAAGCATACAATTCAAGTTCTCAGTAGTAATATTTAATAAATTTAAATGAATCTCTATAAGAATTGAAACAATTAGGACGTATGTGATATAATCAGCCAAGTAAATATCAGTTGAAAGAAGGATATAAAAATAATCCATTTTACCCTATATATTTTTATGAAAAGATTTGAAAATGAGTTTGCTATGATTATTGTTTGTGTTGATGACATAAATATCATTAGAACTTTTGAGGAGCTTGTAAAAACTGTGGATTAACTCCTGAAGAGCTTGCAAACCTATAAACTACTTATATAAAGAATTTGAATGAAGGACTTGGGATGAACAAAATTTTGCCTCGAATTGCAAATTGAATATTTGAGAAATAAAATTTGTGTATCAAGTAACTTACACAAAGAAGATCTTAAAGCATTTTATATGACTAAATCACATCCATTATGTATTTCGACAGTTGTAAGATCTTTGGAGGTGAATAAAAAATTTTTTATTAGACCTCGAGAAGGTGATAAAAAAACTACTTGGTTTAAAAATATTACATCATAGGTCTAGAAGTATCATATTATAGTGCAATTAGCACATTTATATATTTTATTAGTCACACATAACTTAATATATATATTTTGCTGTTAATTTACTATTAAGATATAGTTCTTCATTAACATGAAGACATTGGACTAAAGTTAAGTACATTCTTCATCATCTTAAGGGTATCATGAATATGGAATTATTTTATCTGAATAAACACAAGACTAATCTTGTTGGTTATGTAGATTATATTCTATATTCTTGTCTAAGTCGCATACTGGTAACCCCAAACAAAGTATTTGTTTCATGATATTAAAAAAGATGGTGAAATTAATATCTAGCAAATTCATTCAAATGAAAATCTAGTAGATTTGTCACCAAGTCATTTCCTGCTATGATATTTGAAAAACTTATTCATGATATCGAATATCAATTGATATTATCAAAAGGGAAATTAATACACGTTGTACTCTTTTTCTTTTCTTGTCTATGATATTTTCCCATTGGGCTTTGTTAGCATGTTTTTTAATGAGACAGCACTGGATAGTGTATCAATAAGTATGTACTCTTTTTCTTCTTCTAGGTTTTTGTCCCACTGAGTTTTTTTTAGTTGAAGTTTTTTAATGAGGCACATTTTTGCATAATGGATATCCAAGGGGAAGTGTTATGAATATTATAAGTATGGATGTTCATCAAGTAACTCACTATTTCCACAAGGTATTACTCCTTTACTACTCCATTACTCCCATTCACATTCATAAGGTTTATTGTCTACTATATATCATTAAGTATAAGTGTAACTTATGTGTAAGACTATACTTATAAATAGGGCATATCATTGTATTGTGATGTAAGTGAAACAAGTGGAGGAATACAATATACTTTTTTTTTATTTTCTTGTCTTCATTTTTTTCTTTACTTTCTTTGTTAACTTGTTTCATAACACACACATATATAATCCAAAACGGCTAATCTTCTGTTTAACAATGAAGTTGAATTCTTGTATAAAATCGACTAAATAAAAGTTGCTATCATATCCAACAATTGTCATGTTTTAAGTTTCAGTACAAGTCTATAAAATGGAAGCCAGGCATTTCGCCCAGCAAAACTTAATCAATTCCCCATTATATATTGATGGAATACAAAGTACTTTTAATCAAGGGGAAAAAATTGGACCAAACCGGCAGTTCAATTAAAAAATTGGTGAACTAGTCAGTGATCTAGTTTGGTTTGGTTTGGTTGTTGAACTAATATTGAACCAGTCAAACCAAGATGAACCAATAAAAACCAGTATGAACTAGTGGTGAACTGATTTGGATGATTATATTGCTATTAGTCTTTTTTTTTTTCATTTAACTTCTAATATCTTAGTCACTGTAGATTTGAATGTGTTTTAATGATGATTTTGGTATTAATAATTATTAATTTTAGTTATTGATAAATCATAAAGATCAAAATTCTCAATACTATTGTACTTTGTTATTGTTACAATCAAACTATTGGTATATTTTCTTGTATTTTGTTATTAATAATTATTAATGTTGTTATGTTCGGTTATTTTCAATTAAGTTATATTATTTTAATATGACCGATTTAATTTCGAGTAGACCCTGGTCTGACTAACTAATTGTTGAACCATTGTCTCAACTAGTTTAATGGTATCCCTAATCTCTTGGACAAAAAACGGAAATCATATTTCTTACCCAGCCTATAACAGCCTGCTAATTAGCTCTCCCCGAAAACCGAAAGCCCCAAAGCATGCTACCACGCACGTGTGTGTAGCCACCAAGGAATGACTCTATTCTGTAATTTATATTTGGGTTAATACAAATTTTTGTCCCTCAAATTTGGACCCAATTTGGTATTGGTCCCTGAAATTTAAAACGTGTGGTATTGATCCCTGAAATTATGTACATTTCAGACTGTTGGTCCCTGGCATCTTAGCATCGTTAAATTTTACTGACGTGGCGTTAACACCGTTAAACTGATGAGTTGGCATATGACCTGGACATGACATTGGTCCCTCAAATTTGGGGCCATTTTGGGGTTGGTCCCTAAAATTTTAAAACTGATGGTATTTGTCCCTCAAATTATATCTGTTTCTGACCTTTGGTCCCTGATAACTTTAGGCCCTCCTTTGTTTATCTGTTCTTGTAGAACCCTCTGCTTTGCTGTTATCTGGTCTCAGCGGCTCTAGTGGCTTGCTGGTCGTGCCTGTCTTTTTGTTGAAGTTGCCAGTGAGGTTCTTGTTGCTTCTTCTCAAGCTTCTTACTCTGGTAATGGGCTTCTCTTTTTTCTTGGGAGGTTCATCATCGTCTGTACTAGAAGAAGATGGCTTCAATGGGAGTGGTTTTGTGTCTGAAGCCGGCTTCTTCTTCTCATGAACTGTTAAGTTACCTTTTTGGCCAAAGGTAGCAGAAGAGGTAGAAGGTTTAGCTGAGAATGCACTGCGTTTCCTTCACACTAATATAGGAGCAGAAGCTCTGTGTTTTGACAAAAGTGAATTCCAGATTGCATAGATTCTCTTCGACCATAGCCTTCCATTGCTCATGCCACATCATCAAGTTTTTGTTGCTAAGTCAAATCCCATATCATAGGTTAACAAAGTTAGAGCCAACTCAGACAAATTTGACGGTGTAAAGCTATCAAGAACCAACGGCCAGAAACAGATATAATTTGAGGGACCAATACCATCTATTTTAAATTTCAGGGACTAATACCAAAATGGCCTCAAATTTGAGGGACCAATACCATGCCCAGGTCATATGCCACCTATATGCCAACTTATCAGTTAACGGTGTTAACACCACGTCAACAAAATTTAACAGTGCCAAGATGCCAGGGACTAACGGTCTGAAACGGATATAATTTGAGGGACCAATACCACACGTTTTAAATTTCAGGGACCAATATCAAATTGGACCCAAATTTAAGGGACCAAAATTTGTATTAACCCTTTATATTTTTATAGTGGCACTTCTTTTAGGGATTATTTTTGGTGTAGGTGAAAACATATCTGTAAAATTTAATGGGTTTAATAGAGAAGTTTTCTTTTTAACAATAAATTTACATTTTCATGTAAAATAAACAAAGTAAGAAGTTTTTATCATATCTGTAAAATTTAATGGGTTTAAGTCCTTAAAACAGATGAATTTTTTGGATATAAAATTTTTTTTAGTATAATTAACTACTCAGAAATTTATGAAATTTTGATGATACTCTTTATACATTAGTATAGATCACTTGACCTTTAAGAAAGACCAGTGTGATATATGTGGTTTACGCTTTTAAAAAATCTCAAAGACAATCAAAAGAAATCATTGGCTTGTGAACAATGCTGCCAAATTGCAACGACAAAAAGGTTTGAAAAATACTCAAGTATCAACTTCTTTAATCACACATAATCATGTGTCCTAATTTTTTTTTATATAGGTTTATAATTAAACATTATTAAATGTTAATATTATAAAAATAGTACTCTATGACTAGAGAATTTAATATAATGGATATAAAAAATGTAATGTAAAATATTATTCATGATTTTTTTGACAATAAAGAATATACTATCTCCCATCCTAAATATAGCACCTAATTAACTAATTTATGAAAATTAAAAAATTAATTAAATTAATTATTTGTCATTATTCAGTGAAAAAAAAATGTAACTCTGCCCTCTTAAAATACCTTCTTTTAACAAAATACACTTGCAAAAAGAAAGAGTATTAAATAAAGGAGACAAAAATAGTTGGAAAAATTAAGGAGAAAGACCAAGAAAAAAATAAAATCTATTAAAAAAATCATAAAGACTATAATTATTTTGAAAAAGCAAATACTAAGATATAAGTTTAAAAATATTAAAGGCCCTTAACAAAATCTCCAATGTTTCCTCGCACATTCCCTGTTCTATTTTTAAAACTAATGCAAATTTTTAAATTCCATTAAATTATACCAAATTTCCCTCACTATTACAATTTGTGTAAATATTTAATTGGAAAAAATTCACAAACGTTGTTCAATTATGACTAAATTAGAATTATATTTTTAAAATCGGACACAAACATTGATTGAAAATAGAATTTACATAGTGAGACTTGAGATTCTTTTATAAAAGAGATAACGTAAATTAAACAAATGTCACTTTTTGTTTCATTATTTCTACTATTAAAAAGAATCAAAGGTATGCACTGATTTTTTTCCCGCTGATTCATCCTCCACGCTTGCCTTCTCGTCTTCTTCCTTCTTCTTCATTGTAACTGGACTTTCATGACCTGGCTAGTTTTTGGGAACCCGCTCTGGTTCCTCGCTTGATAACGGTTTCTGGCTTACAAGCCGATTCTTGCTAACTCAACATAGCCCAGCCTTTGGAACGGTTTCTAGCCAAAAAATGTGCCGTTTAATGCTCCGGTCACCGGTTCAGCCGATCCAATTGTCCGGTCCGAGTTTAAAATCATTGGTGTGATGAAGAAACGCCTAGAAACCCCCTTGTCTGCATTCCCTCGACTTTAACCGCTCTTGACCCCAAAAAAAAAAAAAAAGCTTTAACCGCTCGAAGTTCGCCTCCGACTTGGTGCCCCTTCTCAACAATCCCACATTGTCTTCATCTAATGTGTCCAGCTTCGAGGCATGCATTCCGAAAATTTGCTCTGTTTCGTCCATCTTCTGCGTTTCTCATGCTTCCCTTTTCCCATTTCTTTGCTCATTCCCAAACCTCATGCGAATAACGTTGATGACAGCGTTACTTCATTTCATCGCTTACTCCATGTGCATCCCCCACCTCCCATGATCAAAACTAATAAGTCTAACCACTTCCGAATTGTGATCTCATTGTTTGCTCAAGCGGAGTTCAAGGGATTTCTCCCTGATTTATTTACTCTGAACATCTTGATCAATTGTTACTGTCAGGTGGGTCAGATGAATTCCGCTTTCTCAATATTGGGAATGATTCTAAAGATGCCATAACCTTAACTACTTTGTTAAAAGGACTCTGCATTAGCAACAAGGTTGGGGAAGCACTGGACCTTTATGATGACTTAACGGCTAAAGGATTTCTATTCGGTAAACTTACTTATGGAAACCTGATCAACAGACAGTGTAACGTAGGGAAAATAAGGTCTGCTATTAAATTGGTGCAAATGATAGAGAGAAAGGGAATTAAATCTAATGTAGTCATGTACGACACTATAATTGGTGGCCTTTGCAAGCTTGGAAATGTCATTGAGGCGAATCAATTGTGTTTTGAAATGACTCATAGAGGACTGCTGCCCTTTTCAGTCACTTGTAACTCTCTAATCCATGGTTATTGCGGCATTGGACAGTGGAAAGAAGCTTACCAATTGCTCCATGAAATGGTATTGAAAAGCATCAAACCCAATGTTTATACATTCAATGTATTGATTGATGCATTTTGTAAAGAAAGGAGGATTGTCGAAGCCCAAACAGTGTTTGCTAAGATGATGAAATGTGGTGAGAGACCAAATGCTGCAACTGACAATTCTCTAATGGACGGATGTTGCCTGATGAATAACGTGAGTCAAATGTAGTATTCAATAAGATGGTTCAAAGTGGTGCAGCAGCTGATGTAGTTACTTATACCATACTGATCAACGGATTTAGTAAGATTCGATGCAGCATTAGATCTCTTTAGAGAAATGCGTCGCAAAAGCTTGGTTCCTGATGTGATAACTTATACTTCTGTTATTAATAATGGCTTGTGCAAATCAGGGAGAATGTCTAATGCGCGAGATCTCATTTATGAGATGCAAAAAAGTGGTCATTCCCCTTATATAATCACTTGTAATATCTTATTAGGTGCATTTTGCAAAAGTCGAAATCTTGATTAGGGGATTACATTATTTAGGCAAATGGCTGCGAAGAGAATTCAACCTGACATATACACATACCATATACTTATCGATGGCTTGTGTAAAGGTGGTAGACTACAAGATGCTAAAGAGATTTTTCAGTGCCTTCTGGTTAGTGGCTATCATCTACATGTCTACGCATGTACCATTATGGTTAGTCGGCGTTGTAGAAAAGGGTTCTTTGATGATGCTATGTCCTTACTTTTAAAAATGCGAGCAAATGGATGTCTCCCAAACTCAGTAACATATAAAACACTTACTAGAGCTCTTTTAGAGAAGAGAGAGAATGATAATGCTGAGAAGCTTCTTCGTGAAATGATTGGTGGTGGCCTTCTAAAACCATAAAATAAGGTCGGAAACACTAGTCCTAATATATAATGAAGTGGTATAAATGTTGAACTTTTCCTTTAAGGGCCAGCAATTTCTTGTTACTTCCCAATTAAAATTGTTTGATCATACAGGGAAGTCAACGTTGCTGGAGAAATTTTGTTCGAGAAATATGTTTGACACATTCCTTTTGACTATTGTTTGTCAGTGAATAATATGTCTTCAACATCACTTTGTTCCTTCTATTTTACTCCTCTGGTCCTAAATATAAGATCTAGTTTGTAGTGTATTTTACATTACAAAATGGGTTTATATTTAGGATCGGAGGAGTAGTTTATTCTGATTTTGACTTACGGGTGCATGCTCTTTAATTTGAGTTGCATCTGAAATATAGTTTTCTTGGATTTTGATAATTCCTTGTAGTAATTTGTGGACTGCATTAAAAGTTTATTTGGCTATTTTACAACCAAGAAAATCAATGTGTAAAATTATTTCGAAGTGTGAGCATAAATAAGAGGTATATGAGTCTGTGTTATGCTAATGTTGAAGTTAAATTTGCTTGAATGGTTTCCAAATGTTTGCTTCTTTTGGTGAACCGAATGGATATCATTCTTTGTCTCATTTAGTTGAGTCCTTTGGGATACCTGCTCCAAGAGAAGGTCAGGTTATTTTCATGAATATGTGATGCTCGGATTCTCGCATCTCCTTGAATTATATAATTTGATGTATAATAGAATAATTCTACACATTGTATGCCATAAGAGAAGGTTCATCTATCCCTCGTCTTTGAGCTCTTCTAGTACAAGTGCCACTCGACTGGATTTATGTTCCCTTGTTAATGTTTTTCCTGGTTTTCATTTTTTAATTTCTGATTAGTATGTTAATTTTCCTTATTTAGACTCACTAATTGCCTTGCCAATAGCTAGTTGCTTTAGGTTGTAATGTCTCTTTGTTTATTTAATGGTGATATTTTCATGTAAGAAAAAGGTGCCTCCATGGAGTTGACAACTCTTGACGTTAGCCGATGAAGAAAAACTTGAATCTCTTTTAGCCTTTAAAATGGAAAATCTCTACATTATGACTTATTTTCCGTCAGACCTTCCAGTATTCCTTTCTTTTTTTTTTGGGGGGGCGGATTGATGAGATGTGCTTCCAGTATTCCAAGTGCTAATGAATCTTAGTATTTGTTTTCTCAAATAATTAATTGCCTCGTCAAATAACATTTTTTTCTATAAATTTGATATTTTTAATTTTTGAATATTTAAAAATATATTTTATGTATGGAAAGGATAAATGAAATTAACTAATTTTGACTAAGTCATTACCTATTTTTTTAGAAAAAGAAATTATTCCTCTGCGTGTGTGCGTTTTGTTTGTTTGCATGAATCTATTTATACTTGATTATCTTGATCTTGTATATATATCGCCCGCAAGTGTGCTAATTCTCTGTTCAACAATGTAGTTGAATTCTTATATAAAATAGACTAAATAAAAAGTTCATATCATATCCAACAGTGTTTTTTTTTTTCCACTTTCTAATACAAGTCTATAAAATGGTTGAATATTTTGTGATAAAAAAGGACTTGAAAATTTGGGTTTATCTTTTAGCCCCACAAAAGATATGTTCATAAATAAACTCTTTATAAATATGTAAAACACTTCAGAAAACACTATTGCGAGCAAAAAATATAATTAGACGTGTACATGAGTCAAAAGAAACGTTAGAAAAGAGCATGTACGCACCCTACCAGGGAGTAGTATATGCTATAACATATTCAATGAACAAACACGAATAATAAATTACTCATAAACTTTTTGATTATATGATTATATGATTATTGAAAATTTAATTTAATTACTCAATTTCATGTTATTTAAGATATGAAGAAAATTAGTTTCATCATCACATTTGTGAATTTTATAATAAATTGAATTGCAAAATTATGAGAATGAATCAAAACCTCAACCTCGTGATAGCATTCAAATGATAACATTACCACACGTCATGCATGTAGCCATTCGACAGGGAGATTCGGAAACTGCGGATTTACTGTTTTGAATAGGAGCACTCTGTTTATCATTTTATTATTAGTATTGTATTATTTTTATTTAGTATAGTATTATTTCTTGTACTTAATATAAAAGTTAAATAATTAATTTAAAGATATTAAATAAATTATTTGACTTGGTTATTTGTAATATATAAATTTTGATTTTCATAAACTATCCTCTTTAATTATGTATATTGAAACTACCTATTGATAGAAACATCTTAATATATACTCATCTAGTTCTATTTATAGATTAGAGAGAAATTTTTTCTTCATCCTATTTACAACTCACTTCATCAGATTTTTAGCATGAATACACTATTTTGCCTTCGTAGAAAGTTATTTTTTTTAATATATATAATAAATAAGGATAAAGTCAAAAATTTTGTTACATTTTAATAAAAAAATTAGTACAGTTTAAAACTTTTTTTGATTTGTATGAAATATATTGAATCAATAGGATTAAATCTAGCTCCCAACTAATTTTTATATTAACCAGCAGAGTTATAACAAAAATTGTGCATTTGGATGGTACCATTGTGTTTCAGACTCTTGGAATAAACCCAGAATAGCACTGAAGAACAGCTAACAAGTCGCCATTCACTAAAATCACCAAAACCAAAGTCACCTTTCTAGCGATTTGAGGTGAGAGAGAGTGAGAAGCCATGCTCATTAAGAATGCTCCGAGTCAACATATAAAAACCGTAACCATTGTCTCTGCTTAAATTCCTTATGTTTTTCTCACATATAACCACTCTATTCTTGTTGCCTCACAACTGGGGTTCAATCAATTACTGTTTATTATTGAAAATGCATTAGCAATGGACTTGGATTTTACATCAAGATGAAGAAGGTCCAGGAGGTTTCAGAGTTTCAAAGACGGCTGAAAAGTCAAGGTCTCCCAAACCCAAGCTTCTTGCTTTCTTGAAGGCCTGCAAACAAGCAACGCGCAGAATTCGATGGTTATGTCTTCATGAAACGTAGTAAATGAGAGCAACCTATTTGCAATTTATTATTTTCAAAAGCTAGACTAATGTAGGAGAGGAGAGGGAATAAAAGAACAATGACAAAAATATCAAAAGTCATAATGGATTTATTTACCAATGATCAACGAACTATAGTTGTCCTAGGAAACTAAGGAATAGCATTCAGGTTCATATTCCTTTGTTAAGCTCTTCACTAAATCCTAAAATTACTCATTCTACTTATTTATGTATTCATAATTGTTCAATAATAATGAACTATTTACATTAAATTGATAATGATTCTTCTTGCTCATCTTCCATTGTTCAATCAAAAGTGGTTGCCAATGGTATCAGTCCCGATTAGACCGCAGAAGGTGACATGCTACTCAACGTCTCAATGAGAATCTGAATTAAAGATTACTGCACAAAATAGGGATTAGCTAGTTGATTTATATGCTAAGAATTTTGATATTAGAATTAATTCTTCATTATGAAAGGTTGAAGATGTAAAATTGCTGGTTGCTAGAAATGAGGGAATGGATATAAGGTATGGTAGAGAAACATAGTACGCTTAAGACCAATAGCATCAATGAGTATTTACCGTTTTTGTTCCTTTTCTCTCCCATCTTTCATTTCCTTTCCATAAAACTAAGCTTTCTGACTGCAAATGCCTATTTCTGATTCTGTTCACTATTACTCTTCACCTTTCTGTTACTTCTTTATCCTGTATCTATTTCAACAGTACTCCCTAATTTAGGTAGGAGAGAGTTGGCATGCAAGCATCCTTCTGCAGTTTATGCAGACAAAATCAATAATAAATTGGTTAACTGTCATTTTTACCCTGGAATTATTCGCGAACAAGCTATCTGGAATTTTTTTTAATTTTTGGGCTCACCTTGAAAGTGTTAAAAAAGGAGTAATCTCGCCCTAACTGTTAAAAAACTAACATGGACCATTAACATTTTTTAATACTAAGGGCGACATTGCCCCCATTTTAACATTTCCAAGGCCAGGGCTATATTGAGCTAAGCCAAAATAAATGCTTTATGTTTAGGTTATGCTTGCTCCTGGATTTTGAGTTCTATGAATCTAGAGACTTCCCTCCCGTGAGTCTGACTATGTGGTTAATTGGCAGATTTTCTTACTATAACTAAGCTAGAAGTTCACTTTCCACAAGAGTAGTGAGCCCAACTCATGGAGTCTATCTCTTGCTAGTCATAGCGATTGCACGTGAGTTGTATGAAGAACTATACTTCTGCTCTTTTTTTGGGCATATAAAGAAAATGTGATGTGAATAGCATAAACCTCATTTGCGGCAGCTGCAACAGGCATTGATACAGCATTTTCATCTCCAAGGGCAAGAGCCAATCTCATGTCCTTCTGCTGATGTTTTAGCGGAAAAGCCGGGTTGTAATTATTCTGGAGCATTGTTGGTCCCTTTAACCTAAACATGGGGTTGGTCATCGCACCAAGATCCTGCACAAAATATCTCAATTATGCTTCGTAATGGAATCATCAGGTGCATGCAATCATTTTCAAGGTCAAAAACTCTTACCAGCACATCGAGAAGAGTTTGAGGATTTAAACCACTTCTTCCGGCTAGCATGAGTCCCTCGGCAAAAGCATTCATCATACTGCAAGGGCGACAACAGCGCAAATAATTTGCATAAGACAAAAGATGAGTGTGTAACAGCTAGAATTCAACTGTTACAAGGAAAACCTGGGGACTGAAGTCCCCACCATGCTCCCAAGAGGGGAAAAAGTTGAAAAACAATGAAACAGGGAAAGAAAAATATTACCTGCCCATTGTCATATTAACGACAAGTTTCATTTTTGCACCGTTTCCAACCTCCCCTAGGAAGAAAGACTTCTTGCCCAATACATCAAATGCTGGAAGTATTTCATCATACAATGCCTACACAAGAAATGCAAAGGGTAATGATGAATCCGCAAGAAAAAATATACCACATATAGCAATGATAGAAAGTCCTATTTTTATATGTTTAAATTAAACCTGTGTGTTTGACATATGATTCCTGAACAAGATATAAGGTGAAAGGAAGATTTGTGTGATCCGTAAAGAGTAAAAACAGAAGCATTGAGTTGGCCAACTCTGAGCTGCAACTTACTAGAAAGCAAACACTTCAACTTTGTTTTGAAAGAAATGGAGAGAGATTTCCTTTGGTTCTCCTGAAACGTCTCAAATTCATCACCTAAGGACCGCAGCCTTTTACAAACTTAGAACTCCATCCCCAAAGTTATCAGATAAATAACTAAGAATTTCAACAAATCCATAACTCGCAAAATATGTTCTGCCTCCTTTTCTTCCTCGCTTCCTACTAGTTAATACCATCCACACAAGTTATTTAGCTGTCTATGACACATAAAAATATGGCTGTTGGTTCTATTTTGAACAGTAAGATTATCACTGCATTTGCAATTTTTTTGAGATTATTAAGGGTCACCAAAGCCGTGGTTTCTTGAAGAGCTCATCCAGATAACAGGGAATATTGTACATGCATAGCTTATTGTCATTTGATTACAATCTCAATGTATTGCTCAAATATATGCATTTTGTTCTGGCATATCACGCATAACAAATGTGAAAGTATCAATGGTCAACAAAAAATTATTAGAACGATGTAGTATAATTATGGACCACCATCGTATCTGATAACTTCTACCGAGACACCATGTATTAAAATAGTGGGGGAAGAAAGAACTATTAACAGTTCATATACCTCAAATTTTTAGAAGTACAGCAGAATAGCAAGCAAGATTTAAACATATTCCCGCGTTTTCTGAGTATTATATTTGTTTACCTTGTCCCCAGCAGCAAGTATTACAAGTTGGCCATCTTCTGCAGGCTTCTTGCTACCTGAAACTGGACCTTCAAGGAAGCGACCTCCTCTTGAGGTAATGGCCTATGGAAATCAAGTCAATATCAAAATCTCTAATGAATTTTCAGTTTCAACTTAGAAATCAATTGCATGCAAACCACCAGCTTTTGAAGATAGCATGGACGGGCTTAGATAAAATAAGATACAGAATAGTAGAATATTCAACATGGAGAACTTCAAGTAATCCCAGCTAAAATAGTTGAAGGAGAAGAAAGAATGATGTCCAGTAACACCAACTTTCTTCCTTGTGGTCTTCATTTGTATTATCAATCTTAAATCACATGACCGATTAATAGCAACAACTCACATATTTGTAGCTCATCATCGTAGTATTGTTAGAGCATTTCAAATGTATCCTTGAAGATATATTATCATGTGCGGACACTAACTTGTTCATATTCAAGTGTCGGTGAAAATCTTCTCCGTTTCCCTTTTACACGCTCTCATAGACAGGGGTAACCCAAGTTGTGAACATTCAGGTATGCACATATAATATGCTCTCGTGCTTGTGTTAAACAAAAAACCCCATATAACACAGCCAGCGAAAAGGACACACACATAATTACCAATAACATTCTAAGATTATTATTTCAAATCCAAGTTAGGGCATAAGAGAGATAAGGAAAGAAAAGGGAGGGTTTGCCAGCACTCTCAGCCATACATTCATTACAATCCAGAATACCATATTCACAGGCGAGTAATAGAAAATTCCATGCAGCTCAACCTCAGATATAAATATGTTGCACTTACCGAAAGTTGATTAAAAAACAGATCACAGCTATTTCATATTTGAAGGACTTCTAAATGATTCGGAAACAAATTTTAGCCGCATCAGGCAATGCTAACCTCAGATATTTTGAAAGAAGTATCGGCATCAACTGTTGACATGTCAATGTAACCCTTTCCATTGTTAATTTGCTCTAGAACGCCATCTTTGTCAAAGACCACCTAATAAACCACCATAGGAAGCAATTCAAGTGAGCAATAGCAGTTACACATCAGAGAACTTACACATAATATAATGACCATAATTACTGACCGAGAGAGCAGCTGAAGGATCAGATAAGATTGCAATCGTATACTTGCATTTCTTAACTACAGCAGCGGGGGTTTCTCCAATTGAAGCACCATGTTGGACGAGTTCATCACACTAGGTTAACGCACTCATTGTTAGATTTGTTTGCATAAGATGAGACCAAAAAAAAAAAGGAAAGAAGATATATTCGTATAAGAAATAAAAGGCAATATGTTTGATGGTGTTCTCATATAAAAATCTTTTCTCATGCATTCAATCCTTCTTTTAATTAGTGATTTTAGCTTTGCTGTCATACATGATTTGGGCACAAAAATCAAATATTCCCAAAAAAAAAAAAAAGAGCCAAAATGCTTTACATAATCTGAAATTTGAGCAAGATGCAAGAAGTTCGCTTTCTTACGGAATCCAGTTTCTATTTTCTAGCCCTCTTTTTCCTTCTTTTCTTTTCGGGCTAAAATTTCATTCTTTACAAAATTTGGGAATGAAGATGACAGCTAGGTTAGAAATCTCCTTGCATTTCTACCTCACAAAATCGAAGCGTAATAGTTTTTTTCAATCACAAATTGAAATCACCTCTTGCTTGATCCTAATTTTTTAAAACTCCAATGTCATTTAGCTTGAAAACCAGAGAACAAAATCAAATTTAGAGGTCTAAGAGAACACACAGCACCGCCACATATGCCCGAGAACTTCAATGTAAACAAGTCCTTGGATAGCAGAGAGCATCAAAAAGCAGGGCAGAAGAAAGTAGTAACGCAAAAGCACAAAACTAACCACTGAATCAGTCAGCAGTAAATAAAAAAGAGCAATAAAAAGAAATCAGCAACTTCTACGTTAATTATACAGAAATAACCATAGATTATTACGCATAAACATCGAATTGCATATTGTTTAAGAAGGGAAACCCAGTAACTTCCCACACCACTCCGATCCTAAACCGAGTCATCTCATCCACACAAATCAGGTTGACACTTGGGAGCAAAAAACAAACCAATACATGCCAGATAGTGCAAGCATTATTGCCATTAGAAACAGCTGCAGAAAGACGTACCTTGGAGAGGGTTCTGTTCCAAACAGTGACCTTGAACCCATGGCGTAGCAGATTCAAGGACATAGCTTTGCCCATTATCCCCAGACCTAGAAAACCTACTTCCATCTTTCTCTCTCTTTCTCGGGCTCGCTCACTCTCTGCAACTCGAAGTTTATGTTTTTACGAACAGACTCCGTCTTCCCATTCAACAGAGACCAATCAGACCATGAGAATCATTATATTTTATCCATTGCACTCATCCCCATCGCCAATTATAATTGATACCATCCTCAATAAATGACAATCATGAAAAAGTTAAGAAAATGGTTATGAAATTACACATCATCCAATATCTATGCTATCAATAAACAAATGCAGAGAAGACAAGAAAAAAAATTACAAATGAAGAAGCACAAATTGCGGAATATCGCTCAACCAGGATGATGATGATTATTATCATATTATTATATAATTATTTTAATTATATATTGTTATTTAAATTAAACTTTCAGTGACAGGGCAATGGCCAACGCGTGATGATTGGCCACATCGGACGGACGAACGGACAGACGGACGAATGTGTTCCACATCACCTCCTTCCTGCTATCTAGGACTCTTCTCAACAGCAGAGTCAAGTTGGGGGGTCTCTGGATGAGTATAAAAATACTTTTTAAAAGTATTTTTTTTTAAAGCGATATAAACTTTTTCATATATTTATTTCGTATACCGTAAAAACACTTTTAAAATCATAATTTTGTTTCTACTCAAACACCTTTTTAATTCTAAATAACAGCAAGGGGTTCGCATGCCCTCCTCATCCCCTCAACAGCAGCGTTTGGGGGGATGAGCTCCTCCTTTAAAAGATGATGATGATGATGATGATTTTATCTTTTTTAAGAAAAATTTAATATCCTGTTACAGTCAACATCTCAAAATATTTTTTAATAATATCCAGTATTCTAATTAATTAATTTTTAGAACACTCAACACGTTAAAGTATTTTTTTAGGTGCACCTAATATCATAAATTAATTATTCTTATAGTGCATCTAGGACCTTAAAGTATTTTTACAGTGGCACCTAATATTTCAAATTAATTAATTAATTAATTTTTAATGTATCTAATATCATGAAGTATTTTTCAATAATACTTAGTATTCCAAATTAATTAATTTTTACTGCATCCACTATCTTGAAATATTTTTGCTGTAATACCCAGTATTATAAATTGAATTTTGGTGCATCCAGCACTCTAAAGTGTTTTTTTTTTTAAGTAATACTCACGAATTGAAGCATATTTTGGATGTACTACTAAAAATTAATTAGTTTTGGATACTAAGTATTACTAAAAAAAAATCTTAGAATGCTAAATATAAGAGTTAGTATGATATTCAATTTGGTTATAAATATAAGACTACAATTCATTTCATGTCTCATATTTATCCATTTTTCCAAAATAGTGGTAATAGTAATTACACATGTTAAATGTTCTATCATCAAATGGTAGTTCTAGCTAATACGTATTATGATTAGCAAGGATATTCTAAAAAAGACAACACCTAATTATTATAAATAATTAATTTAACTAGTTTTCTTAATCTATTCAAATTAGTAAACTAGTTTTTATATTAATGACTCAAGGTTATAGATAAAAAAATAAAATTAATGAAAAAGTCTATTTAAAAAGGTGGAGGAAGTGATATCTCATCCCAAAGGCCGCCGTTGAGGTGATGAGCATTCTCTACTCATTGAGATAATGAGATGAGCAGGGGAATGTGGATTCCTTTGAGAAAGAAATTTTTTGGTTGGTTCTTAAAACCTGTTGCTGCAAAGAGGTCTTCTTATGGTCGTACTACGTTCTTATCAATTCGTCAGTTATGGTTGGCTTGTCATTTTTTTAGATTTTTAAGGCCTACATAGTTGCAATAGATAGTTTGCTACTGACCTTAGTGCTGTTGCCTTATTCTTGACTGTGTTCGCATCATATTTTGCTGTATTATAGTTGGAGATATGTTGATCCAATTCCAAGCTATTCTCTTTATTATTCTAGTGTTCATGTTATTGTTGTTTTCTGCCTCTTTTTTATTTTTAAAATTTTTCATTGGGCTCCTATGTTTTTATCTGGACTGTTTTTTTGATACAATATCATGTAAAGAAGCTGAAACGCTTGGCTATCATTTTGCTTAAATGTTGACAAATCTGTCTTTTCATTAAAAAGAAAAAAGTGCTTCCCGTGTTGGATGTTCTCACCAGTACTGCAAAAAACACATTCAACGATATCATTTTACAGCGGTTAAACATAAAAACACTATGAAAAAAGAGGCAGTGACATTTTTAAAATTATATGGGGTGACGATTGACTTTCCTTAGCGGTTATTAATATAACTGCCGTCAAAAAGCTTTTTAAAAGTTCTTTCTAAGGCAGTTATTTGTGTAATTGTCGTGAAAAGTTTTAAAATAAATCCTTGTCACGTATTTTTGTTTCTATAGTTTTGCAGTTTCACAGTTTACAGCGTCGTAGTCCCCTAGTCTGTCCCACCACCCTAACTGTATTTTCTGACAAATCCCCTCCTTTTATTATCATTTTTGGTCCTCCATTCACTGCCTTTTTGCTTGCCAAAGTCTTTCATCGATCATTCTCGCCTCTTCTGGCGTTTTACTCGTCTCCTACTGCATGAGTTTCCTCTGCATTCATTCTTTTCCTTTTTTTCTTGTTGTATTGGATGTTTTGATGATATAAATCTATTATATATAAAATCGGTTGATTGGTTTTTCATTTTGGACGTTTTGCATTGTGTATTTTGAGTATCTTATATGCTTGAGGGGTTGGTTGGTGACATTTGGAGTTTGAAAATTGTAATTACTTCCTACACATAGCATTAGAAACATGTTTAAATGTTCAAAGTGATAGTTCTTAAGTTCGTAAATTTTTTTAATAATTTTTTGATATTTTATTTCAAAATTTTGTCAAATTTTTGTAATAAACTTTGAGAATTTACCAATACATAATCTGTTAAGTGTTTTAGCCAATTTTTTTTTGTTATGAACTTTGATTGATGATAAAGTGTAGTTTAAAATTTCATGACAAATGGATATAATTTTGTTTCCCATTTTGGATTTAAAAGTTCTAGCTTTAAGAGAGTATCTTTTGTGTTTGGAGAGTTGGTTGGTGATATTTGAAATTAAAAACTGCAATTACTTCCTATACACGGCACTAGAAACATGTTTAAATGTTGATTAACTCTTAAGTTTGAAATCTCAATAAATAATATGTTAAGTGTTTTGGCCAATTTTTTTTTTGTTATGAACTTTGATTAATGATAAAGTGTTGTTTAAAATTTCATAGCAAATAGATATCATCTATGTTCCCGTTTTGGATTCAGAAATTTTAACTTTAAGAATCTTTATTCATTGAATTGGTTTAAGATTGTTATTTTTTGTTTGGTAGTTATAGTTGTTTAAATTTATCTTGTATTTGTTTCTTATATTATTGGTTAGTTGATTGATTAATTTGTCCATTATTTAAATAATTTGGGATTTGTTATATGGTTTGAGATACAAAAGATGCGTGAGGAGTTCGATGTCAAGTTTCAGCAGGCTATGATGACGATGGGCACAACCAGATTTCAGATGCCTCAGGTGTCTAAACTGTTGTAGGTAATAATCACACATCTCTTCAAATCTTATCAATGTTCATTTCATCCATTGCCTTAAGTAATTTCTTTCTATGTTTCAGAGTTCACCTATGATTAAAAATGGGAAGGGCAGTAATAATTAGACGCAACAGCTAATAGTGCCTGACCTTGACCCTAGCCCTGACCCTGCCCAAGACAATAGACTGTCGTATGCTCTCTATGTGGAATTTGAAGGCTCATCTCGCCATGTCGTTAATGATCGAGCATTCTCATAAACAACAATCCATGGCAAGAAAATTCCAAAAGAGGTGATAGTGGATAAAGTCTATAATGGTCCTAATGGTTGAGGTGGTACACCAGTACCCAACCCTACTGATGAGATTTGACTACTAGCCCAGGCTAAAGGAAATTTCATTTTATGGCCAAGAAAATTGGTTGGAAAGCTCGTAGCAACGGCAAAGAAATTTAAAACATCCTTCCTTTAACCTCTCAGAGTACGCGTTTGGAAACATTGTGGTTCAAGCGATTCATGAAACAAGCTCGTAGATTGAAAATTTCAACATAATTACTTGGGTTACTATTCACTGTTTACGTTTCAAATTACAGGTCCAACGTCAGGAGGACATAACTCTTAGCACACACATCCGTTTTAAGTGATTTACAACTTGTTTTAAAGCTCAGGATGTGTCATTTAATCATGTCAAATTTCATGAGCCAAATTAATTATTTGCCTCACTTCCACTTTGCCACTATTTTGTTGTCTAATTAGGGATGGCTTATCCCCATAACTTGCACTAACAGTTCATGATTAAGTCTTTCTATACATAATACCATTCCCATACATTATCATAGCGAATTACACAATCCAACATCATCATTTATCATCACATACCATCAATGGCACAATTACAACATACATTTGTATACAAAGTGTATAGCGTAATGTAATACATTTCTTAAATTCTTTTCCTCTCTTTCTTGCTCCACTTCTTGATTTCTTCTCTCATCCTCTTGCACCTAGTATGGTCGGTTAAGGGAGGGTGAGATTCGGGAGAATCTCAGTAGCAAACATTACCATTTATGCATGTAAGATGGATGTAGTAAGTGTATGACATGCTTTTGTGCACATAACTTTATCATTCATGTATAGTGAAATGCCATGGAAAGTAAGCTAGTCCATTCATATTTATATAACATAACACCAAGGCATGATTAACTAAACATAGTAATCATAATTAAGCATTATGGCTTAGTCACATCATGGCATTAATAGCACATACACACATACACATCAAGCACACAAGAATGCTTCCAACCATTGAGGTTGTTTGCTCAACATTTTACATTCATCTTCCTCAATGTCTCATGACCCTAAATGCATCAACACATCATTTCTATTCATTCACTAGAGCCATGGTAATCAACAACATAACACTTTGTTTTCTTTGAGTTATATTAGCTTCTAACTTTTGAGCTTGATTTTCAAGCTTCCCAAAATTAATTCTACATACTATTTCCACACAATTTTGCATGTAGAATCCATTTCCAAGCTCAAAATAATCAAAATCAAACTCCTTCCTACTCAACTTGATTTGGCCGAACATAGGATCCTAGGGCTCAACATTCCACTTTCAATTCTAGTGCTTCTAAACTTGTTTTCTCACCTTTACCCTGCATAATTTTTCATTTTAAACATTTTGGAAGCATCAAAATCATCAAAATCCAATCCTGGCCCCAA